TTGTGTATCAAAATTGGGGTTAAAGATATTCATTGCTATTAGAAACATTTTTTTGACATTCAAACACCCCGACTCACGGACACCAAAGGTTCGAAAACAACGTAACGTTACTGATCCGGGTTCTAAACTCTAAACTCTATTTTGGGAGGTGGATATGCTATTGCGATTTATTGAATTTTGTCATTACAATAAGAATCACTCAAAATTTTTATCTGAAAAAAACACGAAAACTTTTTGATATCTGAATGAATCGTGTATTTCTGAATCGGGATGTCGGTCTTTGTTTTGGGTTTTTGTCGGGACGTCCTCAACAAATGACCGGGACTAGAATTCATAATATGGACAAAATATACAATATAGATGCATACAAAAACAAACGTTATCATTTTATATTGCTTGCTATATTCCCGGCTTTGACAATCCGCTTTAGAAAAGAAAACGCAAAAGATTTGGTTTAATAGGACGTAATTTGTTGACGGTACATCAAAAGTCCGACAATAATATGTCGTACTTATAATGTCGTCAGTGTTCTTTGACAATAAGACGTGAGATTTGGGAATTTTCGCACAGCCATTGAACCGATATTACACCAAGAATGGGCCGTATATAAACCATTTGAATTAGATTCGCTCAGTACCTGGGTTAGATATTCGATATTGAAACAAAAGTGTCGTCGTAAAACGGAAAAAGAGCCTGTTGTCGTCTGCTAATAAAGACCGACAGACCACTTCCTGCGGTTCGTGGCTTTGCAGTTAGTTACCAACACTCTTTACAACTTCCGTATATTTTACAACTTCAAAATGGAACGGAATTATAAATCTCGATCATCATTGTGCAAAATGTTTTTATCAAAACCACATTTTACCTCAACTTCTCGATTAATCATTGTTTTGCAAACTCTGACGTTAATTAGTGTCTGTGATTTGACATGGTGGGTCATGACCCCGGAGAAATATACAATACTAGACCACAATAAAGATAAGTAAAAAGTTGTCTCGTTAATAAATTGCTAATTTGTCTCCTTAATGCTATTTGTACACAAAAGGGAATGTCTCGTTTTGTACTGAAATAGGCAAATTTTGTTGAACGATAAAAAAATTGCGTATATAAAACGTATTATGGCAACGTGGCACTCGTATGGAACTATGACATAAAATTGTATTTAAGATACCCAAGTACAAAAAAGATGGAACATAAATGAATCTTTTATACAAAGCCCTCGCCACCGCTCAAAATTAGTAATAATTCAGTTAGGGTTAGGGTGAGCGCTAGGGATGCAGATTGCGCAGAAAATTCATATTTTAAAATCCTCTCTAACCCGAACACTAACTGGTTAATTACTCATAAGTTATTTTAAAACATGGCGGGCGTGTTTTTCTCAAACCTCACATTTTCGCATCAGTGGCGGGGCTTTATACAAAAGATCCAAAGAAAATATAGGAAATGTGTATCAGATTCTATAAATAGGATTTCATTATACTCAGAAGATGGTACATTTTTTAAATGCACCCCCAATCGTTTACTTCACGTCGTATAACTTCTTCCCACCTATGTTTTCCTTGGCTATAAGGCTGACACACCCGTCCTATGTTATTTTTGTTTTGTCAGTATATTGTATGCTGATTGACAATTCAAGATACTTCTGTAATATCGTGAGTAGATATCTATTGATGAACCATTTATATGAACCCAACCGGAGATTTTGTAGTCCAGAAATCGTGGTTACTATTTGGAATAAATGGAACTGTTTTGCTCGCGGCCCATACATATTTAGTTGCAGTCATCCGTGGATTATGCTTGACCATAAAAATCGTCAACAAAGGTTGTTAATCGCTTGACGGGACATAATATTGTCAAAAGCGTTTACCGCAATTCCGTCCTTTTGTTAACGTTTCGGTTAAAAGTGTTTGAATGATGGGGCAAATGTTTTGAGTGGAAATTTGTTGAATCTGTTTTCATTCTGGTATTAAGATATATTAATATTATATATTTCCGATCGAATACTCCGTGTGACTTATCACTGATAGTTGTTTCACACAATCTTTACTAATCACCCACTATATGAGCAGATGACTTTGTTGGGACTAGGACATTACTATTCGACACCATCAAAGCTTAAAGAATGCATAAGAGAACTGATATAAACGAAAGGGTCACGTTCTTAATGCAAATCCCTCCGAACCTAAACTTATACTCCGATCCTAATTTTTTCCATATGATATACTTTAAGACTCTCTAAATTGAAGAAGTTTCCGAATATGATATCACTTGAATTGAATAGCGATATCCATATTGGGTGATATGAGACCTTCAATTGTGAAAGTGATAGCTCGCAATGATCCAGAAATAGTTGGTAAATTTCAATTTTAAACTACTGGTACTAAACCGAAAAACACAAACACTACCGGGATTATATTGGCTAAGTGGACCTATGTCTGATAATTCTTTCAATAAGTGTACGCCATCCAAATGCCCATCATAATCTTAAAAGCTTAATTGAAGCAAAATTTTGGGAAAACGAACACATAGATAAATAATTTTATGAAAAAATCGAACAATCTTTTTCGAAACATAATAATATTATCAATTTCATCAGAATTGACATAAAGGTATTTTAATAAACCTTTTCGCATATTTGAATTCATAATATATATGTATCGAAGACAAGTTATAGGTAATAACTTTACTAGAATTAATTAGAAAAACTACCAAATATTTGAATGATTATTAATCTCAATATTTGACAAGAAGATTTTGAATTTTCATCAACACTTGAACTTCTTTGCCTGTCAAAATTTAACATATCTATAAATAAGTAAACAAGGGGAAAGCGGTGTCAAAATTCAATTTTATGTCAAAATCCGCGTGAACAGTACTATCATAAGTTTTTGTAAGCATGGATCATACATGGAACGCGCCGCACGTCGCGCTCCATGTATAATCCAAGCCTAAAATTAAAATAAATCTCCGGGGATCAATTTCCAACAATGGTGAAATATAGTTTTTTTTTAAAAGATATTCGATTGGCATTTCCCCTTCTTGATTAAGAGGTGATTCATTAGTGAAGTTCACCTGAGTAATCAATTATTTTGAGGTCATTTTCATTCCATTGGGAAAGCTTATGCATAATTATTTCTGGCAACCGTCAAGACTTTTGATGGGTAAAGATTATTTTCTACACGTTCGAACCGGATATATAGATTTATACTTGATTATTTTATCTCGATTTTTTATCACTGTCGATTTCGATTGGATATTTTTTTTTATTTTATTGCTAATTTTTGCTATTTATTTTCTACCTTTCAATTTATAATATATCTTACAATTTCTGAATTTTCATAAGACGAACACTGATACATCATTTGTTACAAAAATAAACTCGTCATTTTATCATGAGTTAGGTTGTCTTTGGAGTATTTTTACCGAATAGATAGAAACAAAATATCAGTACAAGAATTAGAATAATTACAAGCTTTAAACCATATTTTTTGGATTTTCGTAATATATTTCAATATATATATCAGTTCTTTTAGTGTCTGTCTAGTTCATATAAGAGTAAACTTATATAATTATATTACATAAACATTATAAGGTATTGCAAAATTCCTACAAAACACAAAAAAAAATTCATCATAAAGCTGACCCTATCGAAGTTGATTTTAAAGAATTATAAAAATTATCATAATATTGAGTTACAATTTTTTTTAAACAGTTTTGGATTTCTTTGTGGAAGTCTAAGTATTAAAAAAACAATATATTACGCATTTCTTCCTACTTAAATATTGTACATAATACAACTTAACGAATTATTTGCAAAATTACACTTATTGTCATTTCACTTTGTGAAGTTCTTTCCACAAAGTTCAATTCCTAACAGTAGGACATGAAATGCCAACGTCCTCATCAACCGGTATATAACGGCATGAGTCTCATAGCACGGTTATATCCATGACTTCCCAGTCACAAAATTGGCCTATGATAACTACGAACTGAATAGATAGCTCATATAGTTAAGTATAATTTAAGACAGAGTGTTCGTGTTCATAATTAAGGCACCGGTGATTAGTTTATGGTAATATAGCAACGAAGCATCAAAATTTGAAAATTTTACCTTTGTTCAAACATAATCAGAATTCAGAAATGATACCTTTCGTTCAGTAATGATTTTATGAATATTTGATAAGAAAAGAGATAAAGATCTACAAAAAAATTCCTTCTGGCAAATAGCAAATGATGTGTGAAACAAAAACAATTCTAACATTTTTGAAAATGCATAATCTCATTGACAGGAAAAATTCAACACCGCCTCTACCAATCATGAAAACACATTGGTGGTACAGTAAATCTGTACATCAGATATGGCTCAAGCTGAAATGCCGCATATCACCCAAGCATAAACCTGGCGCTGCTTGTACAGTGCGAAGGAAAACGTTATGAAAAAAGATATGGCGGTTGGTTCACCAGCTAAAAAGAAATGTGAAAACGCCATTTATTATTGATGGCTTTCAACATTATCCCTCAAAGTGAATTAGCGGTCAATTGTTGCCGTTCGGAAAGATTCTCAGTGTCAGTTTGAGCGATAATAATACACATACACTGAAAATATTCCAAACGTGTAACTAACCCCTTTCCTTACAAAATTATTGTGAAAAATAAAATGAGGCAATCTTAGACAGCAAGAGTGAGGAATGACGGAGATCGTGAGACCTGGACAATTACATATTCCCATTTAATGACTGTCGGTATTATGACTTCATATTTGGTAATATGACGTCACCTCCGTTTATTCTTTATTCGATGACCCCATCCCTTATCAAGCCCCTAATCACTCAACTGATAACAGACCAAGATATAAAATATCTGTTTATATGTTTATGGTTGATCAGACCATCATATTTTAATTCTAATCAATGATTCATTTGTTACCACGACAACAGTATTTTTTATTTTTATTTGATGAATTTTTAAAATAAAGAAATCATAAGAAAATATGCACTTACTTGCTTCGATCCCATAAATGGCAAAATTCAGAGTTAAGATAAACAGAAACTTGATGATATAAACTTGAAATAATACTTGTCGAGAATTCATTGTAGTTGAGTATATTGAATACGGTATATTTACAACATGACGTTTATTATGAATTGTTCAATAAATTATATAAATATGAAAAACCTGAAAAATGTATATAATGATAAATATACATAATGAATGTCGATAATTTTAGTAACATGAAAAAACAGTAACAGTTAAATAACTAACGAACTGGTGAACTGTAGACAATCATGCACCATGATAATTTTGCCATGATACATTCTGTCGTCATAAACAATTCACTGTCTTGACACTTATCACTCATATGTATAAAAAAGTCATATTTTCATTTTTATAGAATCCTCTTTTACAATCAAAATTTTTACGTAGACACTCTATGTTCTTCATCAAAGCAGTAAAATGCTATTGACTGTTCAGCAATTTCGAAATAGCAGTTTATATGTTTTGTGAAACAAAAATAACAGGATATTTTTTACAGGAGAGTTCTGACCAGTTATTTATAATATGAAATTATATCAAAACGATACGACCATATTTATTCCCATTTTTTTTAATAAATTACAACTGAAATGCATGAAGACGCCCATTTTCTCGATTTTGCTTTGATAGTGTTTCTTTCTACCTGAGAATTTACATTAACAAACTTCCATCTGGACAAGTTAAATAAGAAAAGGAACTACCTAAGACCCGTTTTGGACAAACAACTTGTGACCGACGGAGGCTTTGTAACAACAACAACAATAACAACGCACAGCAGTGGGTGGCTACTGATTGGTCGCGATTATCTACGATTATATTATTAAGTATATCCTATACAAAATAATTAGTTAGTCGGTTATAACAGATTATTGTAATGCAATCTATATCGTTTATATCCGCTTTATTTTTTATTTTTTTATTAGTTTCAGTAACAAACAAGTATGTAAAGTTTGGTGGTGGTATAATGGAAATGTATCTTAATTTGGAGTACATTTTTTAAGAAAGATCGCGTCTTTGCTATTCGAAAGTGCAGTATCTTCCAAACGTAAATCGGTAGTCACTCGTTTAATGTTTATTTCCGGCACTCTATTTACCACTTTCAGCGCATTTAAATTATAATATATTGTATAAATGGAATTAGATATGGAATATTCTAAATAAAGGGAACACACACGCTTTACCGAAAAAACTAATTCAAACTACATTTCAACACACCCGTTTCAGTTTAAGTCGAATCAGTTCATTAAATTTTATGGCTCAAATTAAAGCTATAAAACTTTGAATGTCATTGATTACACCCTTTTTGACGCCAATATTATTGGATCGGCGGCAACTCGTCCATGGTTGACACGCCGTAAATAAAATTCAACCATGGCCCAAATTTACCGCCTGAATGACCTATGTAAAAGTCTTATTTTGACAACGTAATCTTTGACACCTTTTGTCGCATGAGGGCTGGATAAACATCACCCACTCAAAAGACAGGCTAGAAAGTTTTGATTGTTTACCTTCACGCTACTTAAGCCAAAGACTGGTTGAGTTGTAAGAATTTTTATACTGACAAGTATTAGGAGGACAAATTCGATACAGTTAAGTCAAATCCCTTCACAGAAATGATTGTAAATTTTGCCACCATAACATATTAAATCTGGCGCATAAGGGTCAATAACTCAATTCCTTACGATAAAATATAACAGGTTCTGATAAAAAACAACCTATCTTGTTTTGACGAATACAGAATACTTGAAACTGTAACCTTTTCTCAAGATCTTTGATTCTACTACGTCTTGGTTTTCCTAACAATAGAGAAAAGCCTCATTAGTGGGAGATTAAACTAATTAGATCTCGTCGAAGACATTTTTCGACATTATTAGGGATGATAAGTATTCAAGAATAATGTAGTGTCTAAGAGTTTTGAATCTTCCACCAAATACTTCACTTGTGGGGATATCACCCAAAAATTCCAACATTTAAAAGAATAAAGTTGAAAATTTGATGTCATTTATGACAGAATTTGTAAAGTAAGCGTAACGGAGACGGTTAAATTTTCATGGGACTTTGTGAATTTGAATTACAGCACTACAGCAGTTCAGACTGTAACGCTAAATATCGTTTAATTAAGACCATTGCGTATGTAACTTAGTTTGATATCATAAATTTTCTAAAACTAATAGCTGTACGGGACAGACAGATCTAGATTTTATGTTTCGAAAAGTGCTAGTGAAAACCTTGAATTTACGTTTCCCGCTAGACGAAACTTTGTTCGAGCTGATTCATTTGCTATACCATTACGTTAAAATTCAAGTTAATTTACCATTCATTGTATATATAGGGTATATATTTATTCTTAGCCACAATTGTCAAAATCGAAATCGTAGTCCTAAGTTCGCATTGTCACATTTCGCTCACAGTCTATAAATAATTAACTAGTATGTAAGTAAAACGATATTGTTCCGATAGAGTGAATTATAATGTCTAAAAATCTGACGCCAAGTCCCCATTACACACAATATTGAATGCTTGATATATACCGTTTTTCGTATGACTTTATACTTTTGTGATTTATTAAAAAAAAATTGATTTGTATGTTGTGTTCAGATTGGATGCGTATGTGGAGTCGTTTTTTAAAACATTAAAAACCAAACTATAAATGTAAATACAAAACAACAAACCTATGCGAGAATATATTAACTTGAAACCCTGGTGCTGAACAAAAGAATTGAATTAAAAAATAGAATACTTGTATTAAGATCCAAACTCAAGTGCGAAACTAACCCAGCTATGCTTCGAACCCGAATAGCCCAAGCTCCTCCAGTTAAAACACTGTGGACATCTCGCTAAAGATTTTGATGATTCAGCCGTATTAGACGGTATAGAAACCTAGCTTCAATAATACTAATTAACAGTTCAAATTATTAAACGGTAACCATTTAAAAGCATATATATAACAGTTTGTCCCATCTCCCTGTGGTTCCATTCATTTCTAACACTCCATCGGTCTACGTATATATTATACTCTCCCTGTCACTTCTAAAACCTACGCTTTTAGCAAACAATAAGTAGGCCTTCAACAATTAGCGTGAAAGCGTTTTTGCAAACGTGACGATCACAAGGAAAATCGCCAAGTAAAGTCCCGATATCAAAGCTGTCAAAGCTTCATAAATTGATCAAGCTATAGCCTAATCGCCACTTTTAATCCATTCTCAACAAACCGTTGCCTCTAATGATAAAATATCAATATTTTGATACGGCACAAAAGTCAACAAGACGTCTGCCGTTCTTCGTGTTGAAAAAGGCACACTATGAAAAACAAGCAGTATATTTACTATCTTTCGACAGTAAGTGATCACTAATCTTGAAAATCGAACTGCTGACTATACATCAACCATAAATTCGGGACCTCCCTATTAACTTGAAAAGCGAGAGATTCGTCCTTTTTTCACAGTCTGTCGATACCCAGATAAGACCCGTCTCGGGTAAAATAGATACTGACTCATGCAAGCGTGGAGCCTGACAATGGGTAGTATAAACAAGAGAACGACAAGACATAATGGTCTCTCCTAAATCGTCGTGCGCGCGATAAAAACGCGAATACAAAATCCATCAAGTGGACAATGAAAAGCGAGATTAAATTATAAAATCTATTTTGAAAATAATTCCAGTACATACTTTTCACGAGAAATGAACGTTCCGAGAAAAAAGACTTAATCATGTTTTATGATGACTTCTAGAAGATATCCCATGGCATAGTGAATGAAAATTATCTTATGTCCAAGAATACCCCTACAAGAATAAATTCAATGTACATCTCTACCGTTGCCAGTCTACTGAAAAATCCAAGTCAACATCCTATCAAGCGTGTTAGACATGGAGCAACCTATATCAAACCAGAAAATTCATGATATTCAATTAGAAGCACACGTCGCCCGAGTAAGTTGTGCCTGCCTAAAACTTGGATCCAATAAAAAAAATCGATCACCTTATAAGTTTCCCAAGAATTTTAAATTGCTATACCTTAATATTTGTATCCTACCATCCTGAGATAATTTACTACAGTTTAACACATCGCCGTTTAAATAAATATGTATAACAGATTTCTTTAAAATAACTATCCTGATAACTATCTATCTTTACATGATAGACAGCTAGAAACTAGCCATCTGTTAATCCACCTTTCGTGTTTGAGGACATCAATTACTACAACAAAATGTGACACGTTTCATTCTATGAGCTATTTTTCATGAGAAAAAAAAAACACACTGAGCTACCCAAAGCTTTTATCTACCTTGAGCGGAAGCGACAGTATATTTTACGTGCAAACAATACATAGACATAAGAAGTTAATAATTGATATTCCTTATGTATATTTACAAAGGTATTGTGTAATACTAAAACAAAGGTTCTATCGAATACAACGAAAATTTCACGCGTTCAACAGGCGACACAAAATTTTCGAAGATGTGAACTTCATGATATCGAATCTCTTCAAACGTTTTCTGAACTCACTGTTGTTCTACAGATAGTCAAAAAACGATTTTTTATCGCTTGATGTAAAATATGGATAAAACACATCCTACTGAAGGACACAAAATAAGCCGATTTCTAACATAACCCATGTAATAATATAAAACCTCTGACAAGATTGTGGGTAGCAAGACCATCCTGAGTAAGTAGTAAATACAAAGTAAATCTGGGAATATTTTCCCAAATGCCAATAATATCAAATCAGCTGGGAAGGGAAATTTTCCTGTCTATATGGCATTTGTTGATTTTCCCAATGGCAGTTATTTTTGTGAGTGGCCTTCAACTAAAAAGCCGGTTAACAAGAACAATGTAAACTCACAAACGACAAGCATTAACTATCCTTGAAATACGGACAAAAACCATCATGACTGAATATCTTGGTCTTAAACTTTAAAATGAAATAAAAATATATCATAAATTTCACCTCTAAATGAATAAATTTAATTTTCTGTTCTGCTATGGGATATCCGGCATTGTGCGTTTCACATAATGCGAGGAAATGGGTAACTACCGTACTAATGAATGACCTTGAAATGTGATCCATTCAATGGGGTTTTGTTACTAAGTAACCGATCTGGTATAAGTATAAGTTCGACCAAGTATGA